GTTCCCTCCCATGTCCAACAAGAAATGGAGGTTTTCCTTGCCCTTCCTCTTGCTACTGATGTATTCATAGAAACACTTTTTGCTATCCCTGACAGAAGTGGCCAGATTTAATTCAAATTGTGCCTCTCTAATTTTCTTCCTATATGACCTAACTATATTCCTGAACTCTTCTTAAGTAGCCTGCCCTTTTTTCCAGAGTTGGAAAACTCTCCTTTTTTTCATAATTTCCTGAAAGTTTCCCTGTTCAGTCAGGCCTGCTGCCTTCCCCACCGGCTCACCTTATGGCACACCGGGACAGCTGCTCCTGTGCCTTCAAAACTTCCTTTTTGAAGTATGACCATCCCTCCTGAACCCCTTTTTTTCAAGGGCTGTTTCCCAGGTTACACTTTGACCCAGACTTTTGAGCAGACCAAAGTCGGGCAGGGCCGGGCCCCACCCCTAGCAGGCTCATCTACCAGCTGAAGTAGAAAAAAAATTATCCTCTACGCACTCGAGGAACCTCTTGGACTGCCTTTTCTCTGCTGTAGTAAAACCCTCCAATTCTGAATTATTTTAGACTCTGTATCTACATTAAGCTTTATCAAATGGAAATCATGGCAGTGTTTTCTTACCTTCCAGTGATCCCACAAAATTCATATCCTTTTGGCTCATCTACCAGCTGAAGTAGAAAAAAAATTATCCTCTACGCACTCGAGGAACCTCTTGGACTGCCTTTTCTCTGCTGTAGTAAAACCCTCCAATTCTGAATTATTTTAGACTCTGTATCTACATTAAGCTTTATCAAATGGAAATCATGGCAGTGTTTTCTTACCTTCCAGTGATCCCACAAAATTCATATCCTTTTTCTTGCCCTTTTTACTGACAGAATTCAGTTGCTTCTCATTGTCCGGACCTGACAGAAAAAAGGCACATGAATCTCTGATTCTCACATGGATTTAAAGCACAGCAGAGACTAAAATTTCTTTTTTAGCCATATTTGTCGTAGTGGTCCAAGTCTTTACTTTAAAAACCAGCACACACAACCAAATCTAGACCATTAAAAATCAGTCAGTGGTGTGCAATTCTTTATGCTTTTTTCTCCCACAGACCAAAATGGAATGATACTAAGATATATAAATAAAAAGCTGAAACAGGCATTATATAAACCTTGAATGTTGGCTTGGTAAGTCTCGTGAAATAATAATCTCATGAAAGATTAATGTGTTAACAACTATATGAACAGTTTACCTCCTCTACCCTCCATCATCTTCCTGTGACCTTTAGTTATTCTTTGAAATACTCCATTAATCTGTGATTTTCTGACCACATAAAGTATGTACTGTGCAAACTGTGCTTTTAAATGGAAAATATAAAACCATGCAGGTGCAATGATCAGTTATTATTACAGTGGCAGTAAAAACTTGGGTGCATAGCTGCATTAGAAGAGGAAGCTGTTACTTGTGAGACAGCAATTTAAATAAAAGTTATCTCATCTAAAAGAATCAACACTAACTAGGTCTAAAGAAATACAAAAATTACCAAGTATGTTTTGTTTTCTCTTTGAGAGCTTTTAATGTTTCTGCCTACTCTAGCTAGTTATTTGTGTATAAAGCTACTTTTGTGACTGCCAATGTTTCCAAAATGAAACAAATGCCTTGTAAGATTTTACACCCAGATGCCTAATTCCCACTCTGGCCTAGAAGACTGTGCCAGGAAATGTTTCTTTTAAGACTTCATTGTCCAGAGAAAGACTTGTCATCTTTTTGCTTAAAAGCCAATTGGAATTTACATGTTAAATATTTTTAAAGCTTTTTCTTCTTGGTTTTTTTTGGTAATAAATGGTACTTTACCTAGGCTGTTATCATCATCAGACACATCCATAAATACACCTCCCTCTTCATCCATATCCTCTTCAAAGTCTTCCTCCATACTTCCTAAGGAGACTTCCTCATCATCCAGATCACTGAATTCATCTTCATCGTCAGAATCTTCCCAGTCAGCACCAGATTCCTCACTGCTTTTGCCTTTCTTACCATCTTTGGTTTTCTTTTTTAGATTACTGAAAGAAATGTGACAAGCTTAGCACTTCACCTAGCAAAACACTGTTTGCATCTAGGTAACATCTATCTACTGGCAAACACTATGTTAGAAAAGTTCAACATCATTATGAACTACTGTAAATGTAGGCTGAGACATAAGAATCCTGTATTATGTGCTCAGGTGTGTTTTCAACATTATTATGGGGAACTGAATTATAAAAGTCAACCATTTTAAGAAGTTCTGGAGATAATTCTATTCTGAAGTTAGCAGAAATGTCAGCTTCAGCATTTTATCTCCTTTTATGCTCCTTTTTTTTAGAAAGTCTTTTCTGTAAAACAACAAACTGTTCTACTAAACACCAGTCTAAATCACAAAAATGTTCAGGTTTCACTAGGAGTTTAGAATTTACATTCCCTGTCACCTGGAGGAAAGAAGTTTCTGTGCAAACTCAAAAGCTATATTGTAGATACTTTGAAGTAAAAAAGCTACTTAATCATTTACAATTGGTCTCATGATCTTAAAGGTCCTTTCCAAGCTAAATGATTCTATGATTAATGAAACTTCCTGAGAACTGAGTTCTGTTACTCTGGATTCCACAAGTTTTTTTACTGTGTTAGATCCAGTTAAAACCAGTCCTTACAGAAGCAGTATCACCATGCCTCATTCTGCTTATTTTATACATGCTAATTCCCAGACAGAAACCTGAGACAATGAACAACAAGATTTTACCTTGCTTACTGGGTCACTCCACTGTATAAATTAATTAAATTAATAAATACAATACTACAGGTCTCGTGTAAGGACAGCAGGCTGTAAGCACCACAGGATCATCATGATCCATTTATGGGACATGTGGAAAAAGAGCATTACTCAATGTTCAACTGCTGTTTTGCAAGGTGACCAAAAAGGTCTATGCAGCTTTGCGGAGTGAAACTCTACATAAATATTAAAACAAAGATGAAAGAACCAATTTAAAGACTTACCCAGCAAAATCAAGGTCCTCCTGGCCAACAGTGGCATTATCAGCAGCTTCAAATGTATCTAGGGAGAAAATAAAACTTATTACTACAAAACAAGCAAGGAAATACGAAGTAATTCCATCAAACAAGTACATAGACCTGCTGGAGAAATGCCAGACAATAGCCACAAGGACCAGAGAACTGGAGCACCCCTCCTATGAAGACAAGCTGAGAGAGTTGGGGCTGTTCAGCCTAGAGAAGAGGAGGCTCCATCCAGAGTGACCTCACTGCAGCTTTCCAGTACCTAAAGGGGCTACAAGAGAGCTGGACAGGGATGTTTTGTAAGGGCCTGTAGTGCTAGGACAAGGGCTTCAAGCTGAAAGAGAGTAGGTTTCGATTAGACATTAGGAATACATTCTTTACTGTGTGGATGGTGAGGCACTGGAACAGGTTGATCAGAGAAGCTGTGGACGCTCAATCCCTGGAAGTACTCAAGGCCAGGCTGAATGGGGCTTTGAGCAACCTGGTCTACTGAGAGGTGTTCCTCCTCCTGGAAGAGGAGTTGGAACTAGATCTTTAAGGTTTCGTCCAACCCAAACCATTCTATGATTCTATGATTGCAAAATATCTAACTTCTAGGTATCATTTGCCTGAACAGTTTATATGATCTGCATCAGTAACAGGCTCTGATACCAAAGGGTTCATACTCCTATAGCAAAACAGTCCACAAAACAGTTACCTAAAGCTAACTGGACTTTTTCTGAGAAAAATACTTTTATTTGAAAAGTAATGGAAGTGTTATGTTATCCAGGATGTAATTTCTCACCACAACTGGATGACATGGGAAGCAGACAGACACAATCACACAACCTGCCAATGATACAAACTTAGAAGTCTCAAATACTTGCTCCAAGTCAGATAGAACAAAGACTAAATTAAGATACCCCAATCATGTCCTGCCAGCTAACCTGTATGTTCACTTTCATATTAGAAGTATTCACTATAATTTTTGACAGAAAGCAGATTAGAGGTTGAAAGCTCCGATCATAGGATTCACTTAGGTACGTATTGCTATATAGAAAAGGAGGTCAAAGCAAAATCTGAAAAATTACAACTATTCTGCATCGGATGAAGCAAATTTTCATTAGAGATACTGACAATAAAATGCAATTAGTAATAGATTATTGTCATAACTAAGACCATATTAATTGAGTCCCTAAGGAAGAGCCCTGATACAAGAGTTCAGAAATACTGAACAAAAGAGTTATGAAGTTCTAAGAGGATTTTTTTTTTAAATACATATAAGTAAAATATGAAATAATAAAATAATGGACATTTCATGGCACACTAACAAATTTAGATTCTGGGACAAATCATACACTAATTTCAAAGCAAACAATGTCTTATAGGAAGAGTTAAGATTACTACAGAATTTTGCTGAGTACCAAGTAGTCAACAAATAATCTCATGAAAGATGTTGGAAATGATGAGAGAAACTGTAAGCAAGATTCAAAAAGGCCACACAGTAAAGAGAAAAATAGAAGCAAATGTTACAAGCTGTCAGAAAAAGTTATTTAACTCTCACACTACATTAGCAAAAGAACAGACACATCTGAACTGCCACTCATGAACTTAAGTTCAAAATCAATTTCCAACCACTCAAACAACCTGACTACTGGAGCACTGAGAGCAAGACCTCTTCTACAAGATGGCCATCCAGTTGGCTTACACAATGGGTAGTATGAACTGCTGGCCACAGTAGCATAGAATGGCAACTGGAAAGCCTGTTCTCTTCCACTTCCATAATCCTGTATCTGGTTCATACAATATGAACCATAAAAAGGATAAATTAATGATCTGAAAAAGCAGGAAACACTAGGATAGTTACTGCAAGGAAGAACACAGCCTTACCCAATACTCTTTCAAATTCATCATCATCTACATCTTCCACACTTTCTTCATCATCTTGACGCCTTTGTTTCTCCCTCTTCTTATCGAACTTGGAATAAAATCTGAAATAATATATTGCTCTCAGACAAAAAATTACAGGTGATGATCTTAATGACATCATTTTAAATTCAACCACTAATTTCCTGAGGAGACACTCACGGTAACCAGTATTTTGATCTAATAAAAACAAATCTTTGCCAAATGTCTGTCCCTTCAATTTTAATGCTAAACTGCATTTTTATATCATAATCCGAAAGGAAGTTCAAAGAAATGGAAAGAACTGTGAGCTCCTCTGACTTTTTGGCTTTGTCCATTCTCATAAGCTTTGATGCTAATAACAAAAACAAGGTCTTTTCCAGCTTTCTTTAAATATCCTTCTAATGCATAAGAATTACAACCCACAAGATATTCATCATCACCCATAGTTTAAGGCTTCTCTAGCACAATATCAGCTTAGTGAGTTTTAGACCACAAGCCTTGATTGCCTTTGCTCATAAGTCATATCCTTTCCTAAACACTTTTGACAGATGTCAGTATTACATTCTAAGGACAGTACTATCATTGTAAGTCACTCAAATGAATCAAAATTTCCAAACACTTGAAATACCAGAGAATACTTAAAAAAATTTAATGGGTTTTGATGCCATTGCATTAGAAAAAAAAACAACACTTAAAATGAATGTTAAGTATTTCATTACCTGTGAAAGAACACTTCATCCACTGGGATTTTGCTTTCATCTTTGGTACGGAATTCCTTACTGTTGACTGCAAAAACAAACAAACAAAAGAACTGATTTTACCTCAAGTTGAAATGACTGTTATTCTTTTAAGAGATTAAACAGCATACACAGACAGAAGTATGTACATACACAGTATCATCCAGTAAACCATGTGGAGCTCATCTCAACCTCTTCAAACTAACAGTTCTCAGTGTACATACTAATACTCTGATGTGAAGTATGGAAAAGACCATGTAGAAAAGCTCCAGAGGCACAGCCCTAACCAGGTTCTTAGTTA